ATCATGGCTAGTTTCAGCAAAGGATTTAACTCATTTAAAATTAACATTATAAACCTCCGAACCAAACAGCAGCAGAATTCAGTGGAAATTTTAGTTAAATTATTATGAGACGCAATGATATTTATAAGATTTAAAATATTTACATTTTACAACATTTTTACAACTTAGTTTGTTAGGTTATAGGTAATATTTAAATTTAATAAAGTAAAAATTAATAACAATTTAAATAAAATAAAAACAAATTAACTTAAAACTTTTATTTAAAATTTAATTTAAATAAAAACTATAAAAATAAATAATAAGTAGAAAAACTTTAAATTTTTGTGTTAAATAATAATATTAAATTTATTTGCCGTGTTAGATTACTTTAGTCAAGGTGTTCCCTTTGCCTTCATTTCATTTAATTGATTTCTGAGCATTTAATTTAACAGCTCAAAAGTAAAAAAATAAAAAGACATTCTTCAGTATTTAAAATACACATGCATCGTTTCAATTGCAAGAATTTTTAATATTGGTAATATCGGAATTGTTGCCATTTTGACTTCTTCGTATTAGTTTAAAAATTTATACATCAATGAATATAGAAAACTTTTAATTTTCAATTGTAAAAATCTAGAACATGTTAATTTTTGTAATTACTTACTAACCAGAATTTAATAAATTAATTGCAAAAAGTAAGCCATTGATCAAATAAGTATGCGGAATTTTTACTTTTGTTTTTATCACTTGAAATGAAAGTTAAATGCAGGTGTTTTTAAACAACGAAAAGGAGCATAAAAGTGAAATTAAACAAATAAAAGCTATTTAATTTTAATTACTGATTTTGTAGGTGAGACAGTTAATGAAAGTTTTAACAAGAAAAGACAGGTTAGTTTCCACAACCCTGTGGCCATGACGGCGCGTGCACCCATAATTTTGACAAATTCATTTACTGGCCAGCAGCGGTGGCAGGTGAAGGAGCAGCGCAGCTTTTTAACTGTAGCCCACTTCATTAATAAAGAAGAAAGTAAATTTCGTCTGCTGGTTCTCTCTCTTTTCTCGCCTCCGCTCGTGCCTCGCTGCGAAACGAAAACAGCCAACACAATAAAAAGAGCAGCAATCCGCAAGAGTGACTTTCACCCAAATCACAACAAATGCAGCTCGATCGATTCGGACAATCTGACACCAATCCTTTGTGCCGTTTATCTGGGTAATTGGCAGGCCCCAATAAAAAGAAGATCTATCGAGAAAAGTGTGCGAAAAGCGGTTGAAGTTCTTTTTCGACATAGTCCAGTGGAGCACTCGATTTATTTTGATACACATTTTTTCCAGCAATTTGTGTTAAACGACTGTGATCCCGTTGAATATACGCACTTATCTCACCAATAATTATCAGCCCGTGCAAAACTTAAACTGCCAGACTTATTACTTAATGCTGTGGAGCAATTCACATTCTTTTATAAATTTGACACTATATTTTGTAACTCGTTTATTTAAAAAGTATTTGGCTCCAATTTCGCACGCCTCATCACTCAATGATGATCCCGACGATATATATATATAATATCTCAATTTTTATCAGCAAAAAACACGCCGTCTAACAAGATTATGGAATTTCGTCGTGCCAATTCCCGAGTGGTTTAGGTCTAGAGTTGCTTCACTTTTATCCGCCAACGGTGCCGCGTCGAGATTTTTACAGTAAACCGCAATCGGTCTCTCGCCCTTTAATCGTGTGTAGAATTGATTATCTGTTCCGAAATAAAATATTTTCGCACTAGGAAACCATATAATGTTGTTGCCGATGGCCCTGTTAGGAAATACACAAACGCTTCCTTGCTGCAACACAGTCGTAATAATTGCAGTGAAATTCTTGAACCCCATTTCTATCAAGAGATTTTGAAATTGATGTAGTTGATGTGAGCAGAGACCCAAATTTTTTCATTGAAGAGAATTTTTATTTTAAGAATAAAACCCTAAATAGAAGAAATTTAATTTCCACGGCATCATTTTTTTCTTCAAAATTCTAATAATGGCGTGAATAAATTTTAATTACATCTCATTGTTTTACCAGTTTTTCATAATAGTCAAATTTCTCCTCGGTACTTCCATATTGTTATAATCAGCGAATCGTTCCGCCTTTTATCCTTGCATAAAATAATTGCAGGCGGCACGAAATCACTTTTTCATAGGAATTTATTTATCAACAGCCGGCAGGTATAGGCGCGAGAACCGTTTCCTTCGTTTGTCGGATTTCCCTGCCGCGCGTCTATTTGGAGAATCTTCCCGGCGCATTGTGCTCGAATTGTTGCATTAATTTGATTAAACGGCTTTAAAGCTAATTAGCTTTCATTCGACGTGAAGGAGAAAGCCGACTGAGCTTAATATTTTAATCAGATGGAATGTGAAATTGTGAGAATGAAATCTGACAATGAAACTTTTTTTCATCTTTATTTTATTGCTGATTATTACTTATCCCTCTCGATCAATACAAAAAAATTTTAATTGGAAAAAAGAGAAGAAAGGGTTTACATGATCTAAAGAATTAGCAACAAATTTACTCGGAAAAATTTAAATCTCAGCAGATTTGGTTTAAATTCAGCTGATTGACAATTGGCACCGTCATCTTTAATATGTAAACTTGTAAATAATAACACATGATTTTTCTACAGATTAATTTCAACAATTTTGTTCTTATACAAATATTATTACTTCTATAATTTATAATTATAAATTTACAAATTGTTAGTAATATAAATATGAATTTAATTTTCAATCTTAGAATTATTGTTTATCTCCTTTCTTCTCGAAATTTAGAATCTTTCAATAATTAAATTACTATAGAAAATTCAAAATTTTAACATACTCTGGGTGGAAAAAATATGATGAAAAAGTTAATTAAAAATAATAACCTGCATGGAAATGAAAGTGTTAATATCAGGATTTTTTTATGAAAGAAAGGGTCTTTTTTTATAACAACATAATAATTAATAATAATATTTAAATTATAGATTTTTTGAACTCCCGCAGGCTGTGTATTATATATGATGCCATTTATACTTCTGAAATAAGATACACATCTTGACACATTCCTTAGTGGTTCATTCAAGACTTCAAGAGTGATGTGTAGTTAATGAAATATCAAGAACGGAAATCGCACGGGGCGTGCAAATAAAAACGCGTGTTTATTCAGCGTCGACTTCCTCACGTAAAGTAATACCCACGGTCGCAGTTCTGTTGTTGTACGCATTGAATTTAAACCAGCCTCTTCCGACTGCTATCGATTGTCTCTTCTCGGAAGCTTCGAGTTTTTTTTTATCTCACAGCTGCATGCTGGCTTCACATTCATAAAAAGTTGAACTTAATTCAATTTGTGAAATTAATCTCTCTCCCTAGAAAAATAATTGTTTGGAGTGTTTTATTTTTTCAGTTGATTTTCCCATTTAAATTAGTTTTACTTTAATAAACTTCCTTCAAGCTTAATCAGGCATATTTTAAAAATACATTTCATTCTAATTTCACCGTTTTGAAGCTGAAGACAAAAAATATTTAACAACAGGTTGTCCGTTGAATCGCTTCCCTAACTTATTGCTCAAATGATTACATTTAAAAACACAAATTTCCTCGCAGCAAACGCTATAAAAAGCCTTTCAATAAACTGTATTTTAAAACGCCCATTTCAGTTCAATATCGACGTGAAGCTGCGCTCGTCAGATTTACGATACGGTTTAATTGAACTAATTTTCATGTATATAAACGACGGTCGGTGTGTGTGTGCCTGATTTTGCGCAACACTTACTCTCGGTGGATTACGACGTAGGAAAATTTAAAGCGCCGCTGCTGGACATTCCACTTGCGAGTGCATTGCTCTCTTTGCGTCATAGGATGGCCCAATAACGATAAATAAACGACAAGAAGTGCATTATTTCTCTTTCGTTGGAGCGGCGGGGGCTAATTACTTGTTGTCATAATACGCCATTATATGCGTGCACCTTTATTTACGGAGAAACGCGCGACGACCCGTTTCGAAATGTGACGTCTCTTCATTCATTTGGAGTTCATTGTTGGGTCAAAGACGACGATGCGGGCAGAAAGTTTTTAATGCCACTCATTATTGGCAAAAGGGACAATGGTCTCCTTATGCAAAAATAGGAATGGTTTATATTTTTTATTGTGTCACTTGGCAACCAATAATTAATTACAAATTATATATTTAGTAAAAAAAAACAATATGATATGAGGCGAATTAATATATTTTATAAATATTAAATTTATAATATAATTTTTGAATATTTGGATGATGTATCTTGAGAGGCAGAGATTGCCTTGTGATACACCAATAAACTTAATTTGCAACTAAATATTTCACCATTGTATCTGATATTATGCTGTTTTTATTTACTTTGATATTGTGTAGCATAGCAAAAGCATCTATTATATTGATACATTAAATACATTTTAAAGTTTAAAAAATTGAAACATTCAATTATTATATTAAAATAAATAAATAATGCATATATGTGTAAAAAAAATTAATATTAAAAAAAAACATGTGAAATTAAAAATAAAATAATATAATGCTCTATTATCACTTTAAGTTTCAGTGATTGAATTCTTCGACAGAGCTGAAACTGTCTGCGGCACTCTAAATTTTCAATATCCAACATCCCCGCAATGTTCGAGAGTCAAATGATCCAAAAATCTGGCAGCGGTGGGATTCGAACCCACGCCCTTTCGGACTGGTGCCTAAAACCAGCGCCTTAGACCGCTCGGCCACGCTACCTCATGGCCCCACTGAGGGTGCCGTGTACAGTTTTATTGCAGACGACAAAAATCCTCAATCATCAAGCTCAATGGTTACCTTTTTCAAAGCTGCCTGACCCCTGAGCGACAATAAACACTCCATCTCCATCCTGGTAGAACCCCCTGGATGCTTTCCTAGTTTTGTTTTGGTTTATCAGCCGGCCGGGGTCACGCCCACTTGATAGGTCATCGTCAGATCGTCATCGATCATTGAACTCATTGAAGCCTTGCAAGGCTTGCAAGGTAAGCAAGCGCACCCCCGGCCAGCGCATATTAAATGTAAACAACGCATGGATGTGACAATTTCGGGCCGAATCGGCAGTGACTAGCGTCGAAATTGAGCTTTTTCCGCCGAAGCAGGCTTGCGGGAAATGGCTACGTACGACAACAAGCACTGGTTGCTCTCGCACATCCGGCACTCGTTCATTTTCTCCGACGAGTCGGGATTCAGCGAAATGGTCATGATGGACGAGGACTTGAGGGTGCCTTCGATGACGGCCTACCCCGGTCTTGACCAGGACGAGGAGGACGAGGATGGGGACCTTCCCAGATCCCTCGATATTCACTGTGGTGAGTGGAAAATAATCGTGATGGTTTGAACAAAACTGACAGATTTCTCTTTGACACAGATCTAGATTTCGGCGCCCACAGGAGACGAGTCAATACGGCCCAGAAGTTGGAAAAGATGGATCTGGAGAGGAAAAGGGTGGCGAAGGTTACAAGTATAAAATGGGAAGATCCACCGCCTAATATGTCAGGTAAATTAAAAGTTGCATAGTTCGTAGGCCACAGTGATTTTCCTTTGACAAGAATTAAAATATACTTGTTTTCTGGTTATAACTTTGATTTTGTTTTTAGATATGTCCTCTATAGCCTTTGAGAAGAAATTAGTGGATAAGAGCAAAAAAGAAGCGGTAAAAGTCAAGCGAAGTTCAACTCTCTCTGCGCAACTAAAAGACTGCCCTGTTCTTCACAAAAACCCCTTCCTAGACTTTTCAATGTTTGATGGAAATGTGAGTTTGGAAACATTCAATATTTTGCTTAATAACCTCACAAATTTCTCTACGACTAGGCACAAGTTGGTGTTCCTGTCAAGCGATACATTATTTTCCTGACCATGCTTCCTCAGCACGAGAGAAACTACCCGTTGCATGTTACCATTGTGAATACTGCTAAAGTCAAAGAACTTATCGGACTGGTCTTGTGGAAGTGTTCAGTGGAAAGAAATGCTCAATCTTCTTTGTTGTGAGATCCTTTTTTTTTTTATTGAAAAATTTCCACTTTTAAATGAATTTTTAGGGAGGATGTGTCAGCCTATGCGCTGCACATTGCTGAAGATGATGGTGAAGTAGACTGGGACTTTCCGTGCTTAGACGAAAAGGAGATTGTGTCCAAGTTTGGTTTCAGCTACTTGGCCTTAGTGCAAAAGACTGATGTGAATAAGTCCAGAGCTCAAACTGTAAGCATGCCTTTGTCCAGTTTGGGATGGTCTGCCTTAGCTGAGAGGTACGAAAGCGGTTATTTGTCATACTTTATAATGCAATTATCACAAATATTTAGGGACGAGAAGGAAATAGAGGGAGCAGAAGAAAGTGCTGTGCAACAACAAGGTAATATTATGTCAGTTTTTGAGAAATTTTTAATAAAATTCCTTATCATAAATAGCCATGAGAGAAGCTGAGCAGCGAATGAGAGGACACATGACGGCAATGGAGGCACCACTTTATCAATCCTTCCAAGTTCACATCCTGAATAGGATGAGAGTACGGAGCGCTGTTCATTTAGGTAAATTATCAATAATTATAACATTTCTTATTTAAAAAAAATTATCTCAGGAATATCCGGCGAGAAAATTGAAATTGACCCTGTGGTTCAACACAAGGCAACATCTCAGCTGTGGGGCAAGAGAAAAGCCGCCACTTACGATATTTCTCGAGTTGCCGCCTGCGAACTGACCCACCAGAGATCCACTAAATCTTCTTTCCGATTAGTTCATCAGTCAATAGGTATACTATAAATTGAAATTATCAAATTAGATATCATCAAGTTTATTTTAAACCAACAGTGGAAGATTCGACAACTGCCTTCAAGACATTAGAGTTTGAAGCGGAACACTCGATTGCACAGGAAATAGTGCAGAAAGTGAACCACATTTTGGAGCTGCGATCTGGTCCTGTGCGAAAAGAATACTTGACCACCAAGGAGCGAAAGTCAACAAGAAGGAGGAGTTTTAGCTTTTCTTTGAAATAGCAATAAGCACTTGTCTTTCTGTGATTCAATAACTACTTAATTCGTAACCAGAAAAAACGTTCTTCCTTTTTTAAAACTGAGATTCCTTGATGGGTTTGTTGTCAATGATCAGGACGGGCGACTTGTAGCAAGACCTGTTGATCTTCAGAGTGCAGTAGTGTTTCAGAATTTGTGTGGCCTGCTTCACTTTGAGGTAGCTTCGGGCCTCGTTCAGCCATCCGGCCACAGCCTTAGTCGGAGCTCCCTTCAGGCGCTCGACAAACTTCACTGCGTTCATAAAATCGTTGTTCTTCATGCAGGCACTGTTAATATTTTTTATAAATTGAAGTACTTTGCTAATTTATTAAACTTACCATGCTCTAAAAAGCAGATCGGCGTTGTCCAGTTCTTCCGGAACAAAGTCCGACGTCAGGTCAGGGTTGCAATATTTGTTGCGCACAGTCAGCATGGACCTGAGGTAGGAGGCGACGTAGGCTAATCCTGAGTGCGGACCCTCTCCCTTGAGCATGGCCAAGTTATGCGCCACCTTTTCAACCTCTTCAAATCTGGCCTTCAGACCAATCTCCGTCAGCACACCGCGCTTGACAGCCAAGGCAGGCAGAGACTCGAGGACTGCTTCACCCAATTCGTCTTTTCCTTTGAAGGCGGCCTCCATGCTCTCAGCCAGTTTTGACACCTGGCACATCTGCTCAGTCCAGTTGCTGGCAGGAACTTTGTCAACTTTCAGGGCAGCCTCAACTTCTTGACACTTATTTCTCAGCTCAAGTAAAACCTTGTTTTCTTGGAGGAACCTGTCTTGGGCTGTTAAAAATGAAAAAAAGTTCTGTTTTTTTCCGGTGTATGTGGGATAAGAAAATTACTATTGAAATCCTCTTCTTTTCTCAAAAGGACTTCGGAAACCTTTTCCACTGTGTCCTCCAAGTGCTGTCGGAAGTCTCTGAATTTGTCGACCATGTCTCGAACCATGGTCCTGTTTTGAATGTCGACTCTCTCTTGCAGTTGCCTATCCAACTCGGCCTTTATGTCTTTAGAGATCAAATCCATCTTTTCCCTTGCCAGATCATTCACTTGCTTGACCTTAATGGCCAGATTTTTAAATTATCAAATCCATTTTTACAATCAAAATTAAGTACTTTTGCTTCATGTTCCTTTTGACACTCAGCCCTGATAACCCGTTCCTTTTGTTGGAACAGCTTTTCTGCCTCCCTGTTCAAAGCCTCGTTGGCCGCCACGGCTTGGCGTAGCTGTTCCTCTTCAAAACGCTTGAAATAATATTGATAAAAAAAATATAGGGTATATTTAATTTCTTCTACCTTAGCATTTATGAGCTTTTCTTTCAAGCGCTTAAACTCAATCGCTGCCTTGACTACAAAAATAAGCTGATCCCAATCTGTAGTCTTGTCATGCTCAGAATGGATCCCCATTTCTCGCTATATATTTTCATATATTATGGAATCTTGTCTAGAAAAAAAATGGAAATTCTCAAGATACCTTCAATTTCTCGTAAGCCTCAATGGCATCCTTTCTGTTGCCCATAGCTTTGAGTCGAAGAATTTCACTATCTGTAGCACATCTTTCAGTTGCCAAAAGCCTTGAGGCAAATGATGTGGCCAGCAGAACTCCTCCGGAAAGCCCTACGACCTCAGCAAGTCCAAAAGGTTCCTTTTGAACTCTGGTAAAATGCTTGGCAAAGCCCAAGCTCCATGTGTTTTTTGCACTCAGTATTCTACCAGCCTAAAAATGATCAAGAAAATAATTCTTACGATAAATCATTTCTGAAAAATACCTTGGCTGGGTGAGAGCTGATTAGTCTGAACATTTTGAGAGCAGATCTGAATTGATTCAACTGCCAAAATTTTAAACTTAAAATCCCAACAATGAGACAATTTGAAGCAAATAATGCTTTACAACAATCAAAAATTCATTTCATGCATCCTTGATAAGTACACTTTAATTAATAGCATGTTTGGTATCCATAAACTTTCTGTAAGACATGTTTCTCATTATCACAATATGGAAAAATACTAAGTCCAATACTTAGTAGGAAAGAGGAGAAATTTAAGACTATACAAAAAATAAATGCAGTGGCTTCACTTATAATTTTGTTCTTGGCAACCTCTCTTCAATTTTCCCCGTCACTATCATACGCTAGTATAACACCCAAAGTCTGAGGAGCACTTTCCACTTCTTTTTCACGAAAGCACCGGGGGAAATAAAATTTTTGAGCTCTGATTTCTGGTGGTGTTCCGACGGGAGGGGCTGGTTCTTCGTCTTCCTCCCACTGCAGCTGCTGGATTTCTTCAATTTCCATATCGATCTGAGCAGCAATTTCAGGTCGAGGTGTAGCTGGTGGTTCTGTAGGTGCTCTTGGTAATGTTGCTTGGCCTGAAATAAATTATTTATTTAATGAAAAGTAAGTAAATGTTTTAAAATAAGTAATTAAAACTAGGGCATTGCTATTTTTAGTGATATTTGTAGAATATTTAAAAATGTTTACTTTGTTCAACGGTAGTTGATGGCCTCCTTCGAACCACAGTGTCATTGAAACTTCTTTGACTACTACTTCTTTGGCTGCTCACACTTTGGGATTGAGAGAGTGTGTCATTGTAAGTCATGGTGGCCAGAACAAATTGAGCTTCGAAGGATGGCTGGTTGGTTACACAAAAGACGATTGGTCTAGAATTTAATACAAAATATTTAATATCTTGTAATAACTATAATATAATGCCAAATAAAAGATACGAGATTATAAAATTATTATGTAAATACAAAAAATAGCAGAAATTATGGAATATTCCTTTCATAAAATATTTAAAATCTGATTTATTTTAATTTAACATTAAAACATTTTACCTTCCAGGAGTGTCAAAGTGGCCAGAAACTGTGATGTTACAAGCCTCGGCAAAACTTAGCAAGGCCCGCAACTCCCGTAAGTTGAAAGTGATTGTGGTTTCTACTCCAATTTGCAGAGCATCGAATTCACTCGACTCCAAGGCTAGCTCAGTTCTCATGGTATTTTTCATGGCCTCTGAAAATTGAATTAATCATTCAACCATTGATTGCAAAATTCAGTTTTGATTCTCACCTGAAGCGTCTGTAAAGTTTCGTAATATCACCCTGGAAGAACTTACAGAAATAGTGATATCGTCCTGATTTTTGTTGAAGCTGTGAAGGGCGTCGATGAGCAGTTTGCTTTGGGCAATCAATTTGTTTTTTGTAGAATCTTTATTGTAGTGGGCCTAGAATTTTGCAAATTATATTAACAAAAAAATGCAAATTACGAAGTCAAGGTAATTCAAGAAGCAACCTGCAATGATTCAGTTTGAATGACAGGGACATAGTAGGTTTTGCAAATACTGTGACGGCAGCAGAGCTGGAAAACGAGGACTCGTCCACCCTGTCCATGGTTAGCAAAGAAAATTTTGCACATCTCAACATTGACGTTATGTGTGCGGAAAGCGGCCAGACATGACTGAAAATAATAAATATTACTAAATATGTACTAAAATACCTGTTCAAAATTTACAAAATTCAATAAGTTGAAAAAAGTTGACTTTGAATGAATATAGGATTTTTTAAATTCAGTATTTTATTTTTTAATTGATTTAATGACCTTCATAGGAACTTTGCATAATTCAGGCTCGGCTGCCTGGCTCTGACTGCTCGAGGGTTGGTGGTCTCTGTTTGTGGGCGAGTAATGAATGAAAAAGCTGCGGTCAAAATTGAACGAGGCGAACGCCGCTCTTCGTGAGTCCACCGTCCGGAAATGAATTCCTCCAGCATACGGCTCGACGTACAACTCATCGCCAATTTTAGACAAGGTCTGGATGGCCTTGCCCAAGACTGTGGGAAAAAATGAATAGAGAAGATCGTCAATTTTGCATTACGAGGCTGATGAGAATAAAATTATTACCCTTGACATTGGCGCTGGGAATGTGGCACTTCATTATTTTCCTCACTATCGGCCAATTTGAAGATGTTTTGAAACGAGACGGAAGAAAATCCAAAGCCGAAATTCCTCAGTTTTGATTGTTATTCTAGTTTTCTGCTTTCAAACCGTAGAAAAAACAATTAATCTGTATATGTCCTGAAAGAAACTTTCAACACTTTCTGCCGGCTTGTTCTCTTCTCCGCGCTCGAGTTTGTTGATTTTTTGTGAGCAGACCATGGGGGCGTGGCCGCCTAATGTCAAAAACAAAAAAGTCCCTTCCAAACTCAACTGGTCTGTCTCAAGTCGCGCCTCGCGGGTCGCGGCGAGTATATAATAAAATTTGGCTAATTTTTAGGCTTCAGTCTTGCCCGACGCCTGTCCGTCCTCGTACGGTGAATTGATCGAAACTAAATTGAGGTGCCTCCTGCGTATTTTAATCCACCGATTCAAGAACTTCGGCGCGAAAAAGCATTAGCAAGAATGGCAATCCGCAAACCAGCAATTAAATACACAAAGGTATTATTTTGCAGTGTTTTTATTAGCTTTTTTAATTTTAAACATAAGTTAATTATGTTTTTTTTTGTATCAGTTATTGTGAAAAATAATATAATCTACGCTAGTGAAGATTAGAAATATGATGAGGTGTACGAGTTATTTTATTACTGGCATCGACCGTCGCATTTATGGCCCCTTTGCGATAAGAATAACATTAAATATTGGGGGGATCAAGAGGGACCAAAATTTGCAAGGGTGAGAATTGCATGCATTTTAATCAAAAGATATCGGTGTAACAAATAATTATTACAAATAAAAATAGAAACTAAATATTTCTTATATTTTTATATTAATATTTATAAAATGATGTTATCTTTTTCCTTATAACTTAATCAAATTAACATATAATGCGACTTTGGCACAATTTTGGCAATTCTATTCAATGATTCAATGATATTGAGCTAAAGTAATTAAAAATTTATGTATAATATTGCTTTTCTTTTCTAGCATAAATTATAACAGGCGCACACTTGCTTCCCAACGCGCGCTAAGTAATTTATTCTAAAAAAAAAAAAAGTGATAACAATATCATCCAGAGAAGATTTTATGTACGAAATTTGTAAAAACCAGAGAGTCAACCTCAACCGAGTTCATGAATTAATAAATTAGGTTTTTTTGCTGTTTTTCTCTGTTTTTAGGTAAAGTGTGATATAATGCACACTTATTTAAGTGAATTTTCAGTCATCCTAGACACTATCACATTCTGCATAATTGCTTATTCTTGCCATAGCTACTAACTAGCTTGTGAAATTTGGTTTACTGCGGTGCACACGGTGGTGCTTTTTTAGAAATCTCAGTGGGTATTAATGGCTAATGTCAAAGCGGCCTTCAAGGTTATCTAGTTTTCAAAGATTGAGTCTTTAGCACACACTCCTGCCTCTACAGCAAAAAAAAAAAATTATATCCTTTTATTTTCAGTTGTTCATCAACAACCAGTTCGTCGACTCCATTAGTGGGAAGACATTCAGGACCATCAATCCTGCCACTGGTGAGGTCCTGGGAAGTGTTTCTGAAGCTGGACAGGTTTTAAATTTATTTCACTTATTTTAATAAAATTCTGACAAAAATAAAATAAAAATCAAAGGCCGACATTGATGCCGCTGTTAACGCCGCCAAAAATGCTTTCAAATTTGATGCGCCCTGGAGGACCATGCTACCCAAGGAAAGGGGCAACCTGATGTACAAGGTATGCTGCTTATTTTACTCTCATGAATAATGAATAAATGAAGTTTTTTTTATAATTTGTTTATTATTTATTATTTTTTTTCTAGCTTGCCTCTTTGATTGAGAGAGACCATCAATACATTGCCAGTTTAGAAACTGTTGACAATGGTCAGCCCTACTCAGGAATCTTTAATGACATGCAATTTGTCATTGACGTATTCCGCTACTACGCTGGATGGTGCGACAAAATTCGTGGAAGCACCATTCCTGTTGGTGGGTATCACAATTGAGGAGAGTATTAAAAAATAATTTTATTAAAATCAAATATCAGGTGGTGATGATGGCGCATTTGCTTACACGCGCAAGGAGCCCATTGGAGTTGTTGGGTGCATCATTCCTTGGAACTTCCCGATGCTGATGCTCTCCTGGAAATTGGGTCCAGCTTTGGCGGCTGGATGCACTGTCGTCCTGAAACCCTCGGAACTGACCCCTTTGACCGCCCTTTACTTCGGGTCACTTGTTGTGGAGGTGAAAATTTTAATTAAAAAAGTAATAATGTTAGTTATTTCTTAAATTTTTAGGCTGGATTTCCGCCTGGTGTGGTTAACATTGTTCCTGGTTATGGGCCAACTGCAGGTGAGCCCATTGCTTACCATCCAGACGTCAACAAAATTGCTTTTACAGGATCTACTCAGGTAGTTTATTTTTTGTTTACACATTAATTCAATAATTTATTTGCAAAATAGGTGGGAAAACTGGTTGCAAGGGCTGCTGCTGAGTCAAACTTGAAGCGCGTGTCTTTGGAATTGGGTGGAAAAAGTTGTCTCGTCGTTTACGACACCCCAGATTGTAAAGATCTTTTTGTATTTTCTAAATTAATTTTTTAATCATTGGCGATAAAAAGTGGCCAAGGCAGCTGAAATCGCCCAATTTGCCTCGTTTTTCAACCAGGGCCAAAACTGCACTGCTGGCTCGAAAATCTTTGTTCACGAGGAAATTTATGACGAGTTCCTTGCCAAGGCAAAAGAATTGACTGCCGCTCGCAAAACTGGAGATCCATTTGACGAGGCCACAATGCACGGTCCCCAAATTGACCAGAAACAGCTGACTAAAGTGCTTGACCTGATCCAGTCAGGTGTTGACGAGGGGGCCACCCTTGAGGTTGGCGGGAAAGGTGAATTCAAGGAGGGATTCTTTGTGAACCCGACGCTGTTCTCCAACGTCAATCAAGACATGAAAATTGCGCAGGAGGAGGTAATCTCTCAACTTACTTAATAGTTCATAATTACAAAAATTGCTATTAGATTTTTGGTCCTGTTCAAATGGTCTTCAAATTCAGCACCCTTGAAGAAGTCATCGAGCAGGTCAACAACACCAAGTATGGTTTGGCATCCGGAATCATCACCAGCAAAATGGACAGGGCTTTGGCCTATGTGAACAGAGTGAACGCTGGATCCCTTTGGTAATTAAAAATTTAACCTTTCAACAAAAAGTTATAAGAAAACTTAAATTTGTCAGGATCAACTGCTATGACAATGTTATGCCACAAGTTCCTTTTGGAGGATTCAAGCAGTCTGGGTTTGGCCGAGAACTGTAAGAATATTCAAATTCTATGAGAAATCTTATATTTGATTATTTTGTTCAGGGGCGAAGAGTCACTCAAGGAGTACCTGGAAGTCAAGAGTGTCATCTGCCGACCAGTTCCAACATAAATGTTTGAAATTTCGAGCAAGTATGTGAAAGAAAAGTTATCAGGGAAATATGGCATTTATCAGGCGTTATGGGGGCCAGAAAAAGCCATAATATGTCAAATAATATTAGTCTTTTGCCTTGAAAAGCCAGTGTTTAGTTTAATAATTTTCTGCTTCGTTAGATTTCCTCACATAAAATAATAGATAGACCACCAACCCAATAGCCTAATAAGCTTATGTGTGCCTCAAGCAAAAAAAAAAAGATTTTGTTGTATAATGCAATTTATTGGATTTTTAGCTTCAGTATTTCTACTTGATAATACTATACAAAATTAACCGGCACATTTAAAAGCCATTTTGCACATGTAATGATTATCTTAAAATATATATTTACAAGTTACTTGGCATCACCAAATATATTTTAATTTAATCCTTCTATACACACATCTTTTCTTGCTTTTATTGAAGAAATGAAAATGAACATTTCGTTGTTACTGTGGTTGGCCAGCTTTTATAAACTTGGGTACAGACAGATATTTTTTTGTTTTTAATTTTAAACCAGCTATTTCTTACTGTGGTGGTATTATATCCTCTTTGGCTGAACAGTATTGTTTGACAGAGACTTAAGTAAGTGTGTGTAAAAAAGCATATATTATTACTGAATATTCACAAATACCATTCAAAACATTAATCCAAATCATAAATAGTTTAATAAAAATGCTATAAAGAAAGACGGTCCTGTCTAAATAATCTTTTGTGCCCAAAGATACTAAATTTTGATTGAAAATTGAAGTATTAATTGAGCAAGAATGCAAATCTGGACTTCATTCATTAATGGCCTTTACAAGACCAGTTTAATTTTATTAAATGTAGTCAGACACAAATGTCCGCTGTAAGTCCGGATGGGACATTTTCGCATGCCTGCAGAGCTCACCACTGTCCAGGTAGGAGAAGTCGCGGGCCAGCGCTGAGTGCAGACTGTCCATGGACAGAACGGTGCCCAGCGAGTGCTTTTCTGGCACCTGTTGTCTGTTGCTGTAAGACCGCTTCACAGGGACAGGACTACGGTGGCTGAAAGAAGACTGGCGGTTGAAACTCTCTCGTTTGTTGAGCACCGGCGAGTTCATTTCCGCAAAGTGCAGTCTGTAGAGGCTGAGGATGCTCTCGCTCTTCACAGGCAGCTCGAAGACCACCTCAAGGTCGTTGGACGAGTCGACGGCGGTCTCAATTTGGTCCAGATCGTTCATCGAGTAGGACGAGGGCAGTTTTTTCACATGACTTCGCCTCCGCGCCACTTTTCTGTGCGCCTTCCTGCTGTCAACATAAAAATGTAATTTAATATATTTTCTGCCTTTTGCCCTTTTCCTAAATTTTACTGTTAGTCTTTGCAAACGCGTTTCTTTTAATTTGAACCCAAGTAAGTCAACACCCTGACTATACTCCCATGACACAACAATTCCACCTTGTCTTCAAAGTAAACCAACGCGCTTTATTCCGCAGCTTTGAATTTCACTTTGGGCTAGCAAGTAGATATGTCGGTGTCATGTTACCGCATTCCGAACGCAAAGTATCATATGAAATATTTGCGGTCGGCAAAAATTAATTAACAGACTGAAACAGAGTAGGCAAAGGTGCATTAACCCAATATATTATTTAATTATTTATTGAAAAAAACTACAAAAAAAAAAAAAAAAAAAAAAAAAAATGCCATGACGGCAGCAAGACTCAATTTTTTTGTAAAAATGATAAACAATTATTTTTTTACTTAAAATCTAAATTAATAAAATAAACTTTATAATATGTTTTATTAATTAATTATAAACTTGAAAAGAGAAGAAATAATCTACCTCTTTTTGTTGTTTCCATTGTACATGCTGATTCTCTTATTCTCTTCGTCGGACAGCTGCTTGACTTTGATGTCCTCCTCGGAGCTCGAGTCCAGGGTCTTCAGTTGACTACTGTGGTAGTACCTCTGCCTGACCCTTTGCTTTCGGGGCTCCACTGTGATTTTCTTCACCTCCATCTCAGACTCGGAACTCTCCTCCCGAGTATGTTGTTTCTTCTGCGTTGGTCCTTTGTGGAAGATGAAGTCGTTGTTGGCCGCTGTGGTGACGCTGCAGCACCTGGACGCCGCGTCACCAAGGCTCGACAGTGTGCCGATTTCGTCGCTCAGACTGGCGTAAATCGGTTCGAGGAAGTCGGCGTCGCTCTCTGAGTCGCACGCCGTCGACGTGGCTTTGTGAGCCTTGCGGTTGTTGACGTTGGTGCTGCTTGTCTGGGTCTTGATTTGGGCCACCGTTGGGCCCGCCTGGACCCACGTATTAGAGGCCACCGCCGGTTTTGGGCCGGATACCAAGCTGTTCAGGTTGTCGGCGCTCGCGTGCGAGAGATAGCCTCGGATTTCGCGCGCCGCCAAACCCATGCATGTCGCACGACTATACCTTGTTACTCCTGTAAACAGGTCAAAAATAATTAATTATATCACAATTTGTTGGTTAAAGATTAAAATTCAATCTTTAAGTATAATTTAATAATGATAAAATATGTAATGAAACTTAAGCACTAAAAGTATTTACCAATATAATAATAAATAACTATAACAATAAGCTAAAATATTATGTATTTTCATAAGTACTGCATTATTGTATCTCAATTTCGCACAACATAATTGAAAAATTAAATCCCAGGATAAAATTTGACTCTATACAATCCAAGGAATTGATTTATAATAAATAATATTTTGAATCTTGATTAAATTTTTTAATTATATTGCATGAGAAACAAAACTTTGATAATGATCTGATAATGATATTAAAAATAGAAAACATTAAAATATAAAAAAATAAATAAATACATTTTCAAAAATTTTTGTGTTTAATTAATTGCAAAAAAAATATTATTATATATGTATGATTTAAGTTATTCAAAAAAAATATGAGAATTATTATGTTAAAATAAAAAAACAATCAAAAGAAATCCGGTTCAGTTATAGGCAATGGTACACAGCACAGAAGCACTGCTGTGCTGAAACAAAACGGGCAAAAACTACCGCCAGGAGCAAATTTAGTGCGGTCAAAAGCTGAGGAAAAAGCATCCAGTCAGCATGCCTCGGGAGCTAAAGGTTCAGCGCTCGAAATAAGTGTGCGCTGCGCAAATCCTCTTCAGGGCTTCGACTCATTCGACTGCCAGGACATCAAGTTGTACTTTGCGCACTGAGCCGCGGAGCCGCCGCGTGTTTTAGTTAGTTTGTTCTCCAGTGGGCGAACACAACCACAATGGAGTTTGGTGGCTTTAAATTATGCTACGTGCTCATCGCACCGTTCTTTTTTGGAGCTCTTAATCAGCAGCAAAGTGGTTTTTAACAGAGTTTTCATGCAAATTTTCTCTTGCTTGCCGTAAAACGAGGCAAAGCGAATCGAAAAAAGGGCATTCACTTTATATGACTGGTAGGTTCTTCCTATACTTAATATGAAAACCTGCTTTGCGGTGGAAAGCACCGTTTATAAAGTTTCTCGCCTTTCCACGTTGTAAATTAAAATTTCCATTCAAATATGGCGACAATAAAGTTTAAGGGAAAGTATGAAATTAATTACCTCTGCCGTGCTGGTAATTATTCAAAATCGGTCCAGAGCCTCCTGGAAAGAGCGATCCATTGCTCAGGGAGAGTCTCTTATCAACAGGGTCAGGCGAGAGGTAGCGTCCAGGACCTGGTTTCAGGTCACTGAGCAGCCCAGGGTATATCGGCGGTGGCACTTTGAGCTGCGGACCAGGTCGCTGGTAGATTTTCTTCACCCAGGGGCCAAAGTTGGCGTCGCTCAGGATCAAAACCAGGGGCAGGAGACAGTCTTGGGCCAGGCCTGCCCAAAGGGCCAAACTGTCGAGAGGCCACGGCGGCAGAAGGGAAGGCTCCCAACTTCCAACAATGGTCATCGCCTGTGAAAAAGAAGAGACAATTTTGTAATACATTAAAACGAGGAAGTTAATTTTTTGCAATGAAAAACGAGTAGTACTATAAATTTTACGTTTTGTCATGGAGCAAGAGGTCTCATTTTTGGGTCAAATTTTACATGTTATTGGCACGGAAGTTAGGCGCGTGCGAACATTAAAAATATACCGGTTTGCGGCGTACAAATGAGGAGAGCGGCGTTGCTCTTTCTTATAATGCACTTATTACTGCTCTGACCGCACGACGCTGTCGCAATAACTTTGATTATTTCCATACATAATCAGAGTTCATAGGTCTGATAGGTCGCATATCGAGACCAAATAATTAACTTTCAAAGAATAATGTCTCAATCTGGGTCGATTTGTTTGATATGTATAGAAGAAAAGAAATCGAAAGGAGGTTAATGTGGAGAGAATTGATGCGCGAGAGTCGCGATGCTGAATTACACAGGGCCGTCAATTTTAATGTTCGGAAAGAGAGTGAAATCTTCAGTTGTTTAACTTGTGACCTGAGGCGAGTACAAGTGCAATTCAAAAATAAATAAAATAAATGAAGGCACGAAAAATGTCAATATTTTATGTAAAGGTATGGGCGTTTTAAGCCTCATAAATAATATTAATAAAAAGCCTTATACAAGCTGGCCGACGTAAATCAAGTTATTTTATTACAAGAAGCAAATTTTTCAGAGCACATTTTTCAGAGGCGCTTCTTTCTTGATAAAATTTGGTTTTTTATTTGGCAAGCAAGAAAATTCAATTCCAGAGCTGCTTGGGAACGAAATTCCTGATTGCGGCCGCGGTGTGGGTTTTATCAAAGCGAGCATCCAAGGCCTCGCGAGCAATGCAAGGCGAGAGAACACAAAGGCGCCTCCAGTTCGACAAAGCCTTCCTTTGCGCATCACCGTGGCATTTTTTCAGTGGGCGCTCGCTTTGGTTTTCATTAAGTTGCCGCTGCATTCCGCCGCTAACTGCTGTTGTTGTGTTTCTGACTGAAACTCGATCGCGATTGTCCAAACTGTGGAAATGAGCCGCTCGGCCGGTCAGCGAGAATGACACTCGAATCAGTTAATTCCGGACGCAAACACTGACAAAAATAATTGCACGTGAGCTGTAAATTGGAGCTCCTGTGGCAAAATAATAATAAATGCGGCACCGGGTAATTGGAAGTGGGATTTCGCAAGGAATTCGCGCCATCGGAGCGGAGGATGTTGTTAATGGCCCAGCCGGTGGGCACCTAATGCATCCGGGTCGCCATACGAACATCAGAAATCCGTTGCTTTCTGGACACATGCTTATAATTATTTAACACTTGTTCAGTAACCTCACTTATGAGGTCTAAAAATATTGTTTATATTGTAAAAATTCTAATGAGATTGAGTTTTTAAACAATGTTATCTGGTATTGTAATAAATATAGTGGATAATTGGAATCATTTGAAAAAAATTAATAATAACTGTTTTGTAAAAAAAAGGATTTTGTTATATAACAAAATATATTTATTTTATAATAAGCGTTCAAATAGATAATTATAATGATTGAAATTAAGTCTGTGTGGCAGTCTAATTTATATTAAACGAAAAGAAATTGTTTTTTGTATAATGAGAAAATTTTATCAAATTGTTAACACACATAATGAAATTTGAACTATACAAGTTAGTTTTAGATAAATAAGTTAAAGTTTTGAGAATAAAAAAGCAGAGAGTAGAAAAGGGAAACTGTATGAATGAAATAATGTTTAAAATACAGTTTGTTTATTATTTGTGAAAAGAAAATATTAAAATTAAAACATATGGTTCAATTTGAACATTCTGCGAATATTAAATAAAAGCTAGAAATTTAAAATATATAAATAAACTGAAAAATAAGATAAAAGATTATATTATTAGTTAAAAATTTTAATTTACATCGATGCCTATCATCTTGCTATATTCGAGTATTATGATTTCAATACCCTACAGAGAGCCTCACATTGTTTTGGAATCGGATAGAGGTCCATAAATCAGCGGAGGTTGAGTCATTCCGTTTTCCGACTCTCTCGCGCATTCATATTTCCAATGTTTGCATTGTCCGATTTGACCCGCCGTGCACTTCATGACAAGACGTTTCAACTCGGCCTACGCACGCACTCACGTAAATCACGAATTTGCGCGCAGAGCGCCTTATATTGTGTGGAGTTCGTTCATCTGCAGAACAACTTAATTGGCGCATTACCTCACATGCCGAGAACAAAAGTGAACGGTTTGCGATTTGAGCAAAAGCTATAAAGTGCGTTGCCTTTGATTTCGCTGCGTGGGTTTGTAATTTCGTTTAATGGAGACTCACGGCATTCTGTGAGGCACTCAATGGTGATTGCACTCGCTAAATGAGAAAATTTCCAAAGCCCACGATGCGATGCAACGTGTTTCTTTTATACACGGGTGATATAAATAAAGGAGAATTCAATCAAACTTGCACAATTGATTAGTTTGTCTTGTAATTGATTATTAGATTGTGAATTTTCACTTGTATCAGTTCAACCATATCTATGATTCTCGAAATTCACATTTCATAGGTAAAGTTTCTATGATAAATAAAGTTAAGTGGAAAAAAAATCAATTTTGCATGTGAATGGACTCCACACAGAAAAGTCACGGAGGTGGAACGAATCTACCAGAATTAGCTGTTTCAAAACTAACCTCCCAGGCCGTGGTAAAAAGTTGCGGGTGTCCAGCGTTATTTTGAAAACAAAAAACTTCATTTCCTCGGCCAAGGTGGATTGTAATCTTGGCGCGCGTACAGTTATAATAATTTTTATCTGTGTGTCGCGCGGCTGCTTCCTGAATTGAACTCCAATTTTGCGGTCTGCTAGCAGTGCATTGATTATTTTATGTACAGTGATTGGATATTTATGTATAAAATAAGTGAAACTTTTTGCTTCTCTTTTAGATCATTGGCAGTATATCAGGCTTGAGTTAATATCACTATGAATTTGGGTTTGAGCCAAATGAGAAAATTTTATTCTTGAATTAAACGGAGAAAAGTGAAGATATACTGTAAATGTAAAGAGGCAAAATATGATTTGTTCAATATCCATTAATTCTACAAACAGTTACACAGTAAAAAAGGTTCAATTTCAATTTCAAATATATTATATAAGTTAATTAACATTTAATTAAATTTCTTGGCCCAAAAATACCTCATATCAAATTTCTGCATCGCAACATGTAATACAAATTAAGATTTGGAATTTGGACTTTTAATTTTGCAGTTCACCTAATTATAGAATTAATTCTGGTTCTCATTAGTCATTGTAAGTTCACCAAAGAAAAAGCAAAGCATCATTTATGAACAAATAACAAAATATCACATTTCCAAAGGGAGACACTTCACGTAGATATCTAATTACAGCATGAGTCGGGTTTTCATTAGAATCAATGTCGTACAACTGACGCGCGTTCAAAATGAGGCATTTAATATTTGTGCAAGTAACAGTTGCGGTAAATTACTTATGCAAAACGATTTACCACAGAAGCAATTAAGATTTCTCTTCTCTCATCTTCCACGGTAGTTTTTTACTGCACTTGCTCACAACAGGTGAAAACTTTCGTGTAAACAGTTTTCTGTGGGGCCTTTTCTAAACATTTGAATATTGCACCGCTCCGAGCGAAAATGGGTCATTCTCATGAATAATAACAACAAACGACCGCCTCAGTGATCTTTCGTGGGATTATTCGCCCGTTTTCAAGAGATGCAGACACACAAGAAGAAGACGAAGAAGAAGAAGTGCAACAGCAAGCAGGTTTTGCCTCGCGCGTATAGCGGTTTCTGAGCCTACGGCAAACGCGACGACGAGAGATCAATTCACGCCAGCACACACGTATTATTTAAATGAGAGAGCCTAATGAAACCTGTGCCCGGCATGGCCGGTCGCGACCACCTTTCAACTAAAAACTACTATACTTCTTCTTGATAGAAGAGCAGCGGTATTCATCTTCAGGTTTGCGCACGCGAAAAAAATAAAACATTCGACTCTCAGGCAGCTGCCAGCGAAACGAGACACATTCAGCAATAAAGGGATTAAAATAAATTACACTGCCAGCTTCTAAAGCAGCATTCCTTCTTCGATATATACACACACACTCGCCTGCTGTTTTAATCTCTGCGTCACTGAGACGCACACGCAAATTCTTATAAGCAGAGAGAAAAATAACGAACAGCGCGAGGTGCTTTGTTTTGAACAAGCGTTTGACTCGGGATAAATCAGGGCCTGATCATTTTGCGTAATGCTGTTATACAAAGCCGATGAAAAGTTAGATAATGTGGGACAAGTTTTGCGTCTGATCGATTTAAAAACGTGTTTTTGGGAGTGCCTATTTGGCCTATGCCAGATTTGCTAAAATTTTATTTCTGGCATTATCCATTTATTAAGGTCAAATTTGGACGACCTACTCTAACTTAGACCAAGACTGTAAAAATATTTTATTTATAGATATAGTATCAAACTGACTCATCAGTATTTTATTGAGAACTCTTGATGTCAGCTTTACAGTTCCGATATACTTGTTTGCTAAAAATAAAAATATTCTAGGACAAGTTTCCGTTCCATTCATAATGATTTATAAACAACAAATTCTCAATATCGTCTCGTTTTCCATCCTACTCAATCTGCAACGCCATTCATTTTACCATTTCCCATTAATTATATTACACTACCACCCCTTTTCTCATTTCCGAATGGTAGAATGTTGATTTTTAATTCATTTTAAAACTTATCGAGCAAAATTAATATTTTAAGATATAAAAACAAATTATTAATTGAATCGTATTATCTTTTTTTTTAAAGGTGCTGCCGTAAATTTAAAATTAAAAAATCACTTTTATTAAAAAAAAAAAGTAAAAAATACATCTATTTTGAGATTCTTCACCAGTCTACCGAACTGAATTAAAAGTTATAGGTGTTATGTGTCTACACTTGCACCGGAAATTCAGCCAAAAAAATAAACATGCAGAGAGCCAACAGCGGTTTTTGCTAACTGTGTATGTGGCGAGGCGGCGTGAAAAGTGGCCAAAAATGCGCCGGCCGTTGATTGTCAGTTAGCGAGAGACGCCTCTATTTTAATGGACGAGCTGAACTCTGGAGTAATTAACGTGAATGGGTCAAATAAGAAAAGCCACTTTGCAGGCAGTGGCAGGTCATAAACTGGAGCGCACAGTGCGCGTCCTTATCACACGCGGAGAAAGCGGCCACCGTGCGAGAATAGATGTGCATTCAAAACCAACACACACAGAGTGTGCGTCTGATATACGTTTGTTCGATTAATGATCATGGCGAGCAACTCGAGCTGAGATGCACTGGGCTGCATATAGTGTGTGCTCTGTTAGTTCGTTTCACTGAACGGCGCTGACCGTGAAAGCTTTGCAAACAACAATGAGATTCATTAGAGATAGAAAATAACAAAAATGATGTGACCGGCGCCAAGCTCTTTCAGTTGGTTCAGAGCTGCAGCAGCATTTTTTATGCCAGACGAAAGCGAAAAGAAAAAGTACAGTGCACGTCGTTGAGCATAGAGATAGATTAAAGATTTGACTCCTGATTGCAAAAGTCAATTAACATTGGTGAGTGCAGGCAGAGCAGCAATCGCGGTAAAAGTAGAAGTGAAGACAATTTTTTTTTTAAATTAATAATAAGAAATCAAAAAAGTTTTAATGCCCTGATTTTGATATGTTTTGTTTAACTTATAACAAATTGAAGTTTATTTTAAAATAAATTTAATATATCAATAAATATATATTTAACATTTGATTTTTTCCAAAAATAGCAAGTTGATAAATAAATACATAATTCAACTTCAAAGTTATTAAAACTTAAGATAAATTATTTTGATTACAATGATTTTATTTTTTGTACCGTTTTGTATAAAACATTGTGGATGTGCTGAGGATATAAAATACCTTTTGCACCTGGTCTTTCTTATTAATGCTTATACGGTTTAGTAGTGCTGTAGAAATTTTAATTGATTATTTATACGAATTGGTCATATTTTGAAGATAATAATCACTGTTAATCTTTTTTAATAAAATAACGACCATACCAGACCAAATGTTCGTGGTTGAATAGCAATTAATTAAACCAAATTAAACTATGAACTTTTATTGCAAGAAGAACTCATCAAGATAGTAGATTATTAATTTGCAAGCAAAATGATCTAAAATAAATTAACAAATCAATATAATTATGCACAGTAAATTATTTTTAACAAAATTAATCTCTTGGTATAAATTGATTACATTTTTTGCTGCTTTGTTGCCTTACGTAGCATAAAATCTGTTTTTTTTTTTTTTTTTTTTTTTTTTTTTTTATGAATGACACCGTTTATAGATGAAGCAGCATAAAAAATTTTAATCATATTTTTTACTCAAAAACCTGCTGGAGTTACGACAGGAATTAATGTTTGCCTGAAATAAACATCCGCTAATTGTAAGCATGAGAAGAATGTGCATGTGAGCGTTAGGGAGCGACAAAGAACTGGTTAAACAGATTTAACACCCGCGTGTTAGTTTTACGATTAGGGCGTTGTGTTTGTCGAAAAACAGAAAGGGCATTCTTTGTGAGACTCACCGTTCACCCTTTTAGCACTGGTCTGCGCAAACAGTTCGCCAAATGTGGGAATGGCACGTAAGTGCGTTTCGTCGTTGCATAACGTGCGATACAATTATCGTCGGCAGAAAGACGTGACTCGCCAACGGCATTAGAACATGCATTATAATGCTTGGGAAAAAGGTCAGCACTACTCACCAACAAAGGCAGGTGATGGACGAGATAGCAGAGCGCAAGGACGGACAGCACCGTTGACCAGCGCAGTCTCTCGGGCAGCGACGTGCTCCGGTTTGGCCACGCGTGACATGGCGGCGTCAGCAGCAGAGAGCTGCCGTACACTTTGCTCAACATGCTGCTCTCCGTGTCGCTGTTGAAGCGGTGGAGGGTCTCGCCGAAGGGTGGTTGACGCCCGTCCGAACGACCTGACTGCGTCGACGCCGTCCCAGTGTCCGACTGGGCCAGAACTCTGAGGTCCGAGGTTGACCTTTGGAGGCGACGGTGGCGCCTAACTTCGGTGGCCAAAACGCCAACTAAAGTGGCAACGGCCAGAACCCCGTGCAGGGAAGCCGAAAACAGGGCGAAACGGGGTTCTAGCTGATGAGGGAGGAAGGTGCACGCATCCCCGTGGAACTGCATGTGGGCCGGTCGGGCAAACATGGCAGCCAGTCCGACGAAACCGGAGATGACGGCCAGGACGCAGATGTGGTAGCGCACGTGGTCGCGTCGAGGGTGGCGCCGGTAGCGACTGGGCCACCTGACGCTCAGGGCGCGGTCCAGCACCAGGGAGGCGAGGGTGGCGGCGTGCAAAGCGTGAAGGGCCGTCACGGCCCACACGGCCGTCGAACAGGCCACGCCACTAGCGGCCCTGGGGGCGCCCAGGAGTTGCAGCAGCGCGACGAAGAGGGTGAGGAGCTGGCGGGCGCAACCCTGACCCAGTAGGGCGGCCAGGAAGACGTCGACGGCCCGCCATAGGGGGCGGTGTGCGTGGAGGATGAGGAGGGCCCAGCTCAGGGCCACGAGGACGAGCGGCGCCCCGGCGGCGAGACCGGCCCAGCTGGCATTCTCGGGGGTCATGGTCAGTGGACGACCCCGACGATCAGCGAATAGCCCATTCTTCTCGGCTCAGCCTGCAACACGCGTGACCAAAATTTAGTTTGCATAAATATATGAAACAAACGGATTATTTGTGTCAAGAGTGGAATTTTTAATGAGAAAAGCAGAGATTATAGAGAGATGCTTGTTGAGATTGCATTAATTAGCAATTTGGTTCGTTTTGATCAAGGCGAGTCTTGATTAGAGCTCTTGAAAGTTCTTCACAATGTAACTCCTTTAAAGCTCAGAACGTTCAACACTGTATATGGAAAATAAAATAAATAATTTTAAAATACTTAGTAAGATGAAAAAAGAGTAAAATTTATCAGTAAATTTCACCTTTAAACCATAAAATTGAAGGCTAAAAAAGAATATTTTTTTCTACAAAATGAGTTATGAACGTATTAAAAATTTTTAGTTTAATTGCAACAAAAAAATTCTAATCTTTTAGTCACTTTTAGCGTTCCGTTAAATCTTTTAAAAATGATTTATTGCATTTCTTTTGTACTTTGTTGTGCGTGAAAAATTGTCTGGTATTTCTTTATTTTATTATTTGAAATGAAAGGTGCTATTACAACTGCCAGTAACAGGGTTTGTGGTGCATTATTGAACAAAATTGGACTTAAATGCAGCGTGACTCTCAATTGCAAGACAACAAAAGGCGGAGGTTTTCAAAAAATCTAAGGCACTGGACCATTTCTTGAGCAATATAAATTAATCAATTTTCCGCCCGTGATGCGAGAAAGACCTACAGACCGTATTGCACACATACAAAGACCGTTTCGCAAAAATTGCACGCCGCGAGCACCAAACAGATGGAGAGACACCGGAGAAAATTGACATTCATTCTTTCTGAACATATGCACAACATCAGTGTGCCATCTGCATGAAAAACGCAAGTTATCACTTTCTCCGCGCCGAGACCGATTATTTTATTATTCAAATGTAAAAAAAAAATTATCCATCACTTGGGATTTCTTACTTTGTGACTTTTGATTAATAACCTTTCAGAATGGAAATTGCACGGTTGGTTGTTATTCATTAGAAACCGGCGCAAGAGTGTTTCAATCGGCTGAAACCGTAGACTTCCTACACGCGATCATTTTACACCAGAAATCTCACCGTAGTTTGATATTTTTCGCTTCTTATGCTACGTAATTAAGCGTTATTGTACTCCATGTAATAAAATTTACAAAACTCATCTCATCGGCACCTTCACAAGAGGCGTGAAAACAATAAAGAAAGCGCCGGCATTGCTTGTTTCGGACAAGAAAAAAATGACACAACGATGCCAATAAACTAATTAGATACAACCAACGCATCCCTAAAAAGGAAAGGTGCCTGCCAGCACCGATTTGGAATTCTGTCTTTGAGAAGGAGGGGGCGTCCCTTTTTTAAATAATAATGTATCGCAAGCAAGGCTCTCTTGTACTTGATACGCAGCATGCCAAATAGGTTTTGTGCATAGTGTGTGGCAAGTAAGAAAGCTGCGGTGAAATTGACGCCCGCAATCGCTGACCCTTTGGCCACAATGGAATATTACTGTTGAGTACATTGACTCCAATCTGTCAACCCACCACTCCATCATTCGCTTGTCAACGTACTTGAAGTTTATGGTGCACGAACATATTAAATTGGAAAATAAATTGATTTTCATTTTTCTGCTCAGCCTAATATTAATAATAAATTGAGATTTAAGTTGAAACTAAAAATAAACAATTTATTTATTAGTATGCAAAGAAATCAAAGCATAATGCTATAAATCTTGGAATTATAAAAAAAAATTATATTTATATAAATTTTATAAAAAAAAAACTATAAACTATTGATAATAAAGACAGAAAGTAAGGAATACTAAAAATTTTAATTGTAAAAATGATTTTTATGTTATTTATTATTTTTTTGGCTGATATTTTAGTGTTTAAAAATGTGAAGAAAAATGGGAATACGTATTTCCTACAAAAAGATTCGGCTTAGAAGATTGGGTAAAAGAGAAAATTTAATTAATTTGAAACCTAGATAATAAAAAAATTTCTGTCTAAACATGCATAAATCAATATTGTATTTAACAGAAGATGGTACATAAATTTCAAAAAAAAGAAATACTATGATCAGATTATACATTAATATGCACCCAATTTATTCTAAAACCGGATCTCTATTCTTTTGCTTCCTTTCCTGCTCCACAAAAGAGCAATCATAAGCAGAAAGAAGAGGAAGGATTTTTAAAAGTGAAATTGGAACGAGAGTGGAGGTGGTTTATGTGCTGCTTCCTGCAGAAAGTGGAATAGTAAGTGATAAATGAATACGACTTGTTTGTGCACTTTTTCTCTTGCAATTAAAATTATTGTCATCTATCGAGCGGTGACGAATGCCAAACAAGGTCAACAAATCACTTTTCACTGGCGCTATTAATTTGTAAACTCGAAAGCAATCAGACTTGAAAGCGCGGCGGATCTAATCGCAATTTACACTTGATTGGCTGATAAAGTGTGGCTTCCTTGCAACAATATTTGTAGAACGGAGTGGAGTAAAAACACAGCTCGATATACAAATCACTTTTCAAAGGCTCTCGCGGGTCATGAGTTGGCCTTGGCTTTTGTCGGCCGGCTTATTATTTATTAATAATGAAAAAGAGCAGCAGGGCTGCTTCGTGCCGAATTCGCTATCCATCACTTTCGCATTCCACACCGTTCACGTGACGGCCAAATTCAAATTGCTTTCATGACGGAGTGCTTTTTTGGGTTTGACACTACAAAAGCAGCAGGCTGCACGTCTGCCCCGTCCGTTTTTTCCATCTCACTCTTTTACACCTCAACCTTGAGGTTGATATTCAAACAGCACTTTTCAATTACCGCCGGCCGAGAATCAATTTGTAAATCGGCGCCTTGATTCCAATTTGGTCAAATTGTCGTCAAAAGTAAGTGGTGGAAGCGTCGCCCTATGCTAATTTTTGCATGGGTGATCGGTCCTGCCGATGACAAGCTATAAAAAGTTGAAAAAAAAACAATGTATTATTTTGAAATACCAAGGATTGCAGAGAGATGAACGCTGGCAAGATTGTATTTGCGCAATAAAACATTGATTGAGAAGAGTGGCCTTGTGGTAGATAAGTGGAGATAAATTTAGTTGCATGCATGCACACAAGTCACGTATACTGTTCCATTGGCGTTATTACAAATTGAGAAGATGAGTTACTTAAGTCTATTTTTTTTTTTTTGAATGGTTTATTTTTAAAAATTTAATAAAGGAAGACTAAAATAAAATATTAAAATTAAACTAAAATAAAAAAATTTGTTTTTAGTTTAGCCCAATCTTCTAAAATAAACTTTATCGTAGGAAATAGGTATTTCCCATTTTTTATTGTTTTTTTATATATTAATAAAAAAAGGGAGTTTAAAAATGACTTTTACAATTAAATTGTTTTAGTATTTTTTTTCTACTTTGTTAAATAAAACGTGATTAACAATTTTTTTAAATATTTATTTTAAAATAATTTTTAATGATTACATAACATTTATTGCATTATGCTTGAATACATCGCTTATAATTAAATTTAAATCTGTTAATTATATTTTAATTATTGAGCATCCATATGATTTTTAATTATTAGGAAACTTACTTCCAGCCCTTCTTTATTGCTAATTATGTAAAATGGAATAGAATTAAACCTCTGCATGATAGATTGAAAATGAAATAGCATCATTATCATTCTTTATAATAAATTATTTGTAATCAGATAAATATTTCTTTTGTGCTAATATTTTTCATACAAATAAACAATTATTTGAAGAAGAATGAAGGATATTTCCAATTAATGCCACTGTAATATTTGAAGATGACAACAAAATACAGTAAAGGGTTTAAAATTTGGTAAAATTTTTAATTTTCAAAAGTGTCAAAGAGTGGAAAGTGAAAACTCAACAAAAATTCTTGGCAGCCTCTATAAAAAGAAAAAATGTATGACAAGAATAATTAATTATCCATTATAAAATTTTTAAATTTTTTTTCTGCTGAAAATAAAATAGGAGGGAAATTTTCTTATAATTTAATTTAGTTAATAATTCAGACTGCTGCCAGTTTAAAAATGATTTAATTTTTCCTTTTGTAATTGTCTTATTAATTCAAGTTAAGTTATGTTCTCATTGTTTCCTCTAATGACATCTGCAATACGAAAATGGCCCTCAAACTAGCTACGATAAATGGCAAAAGGACGCCAATTTTAATTAAAGAAAAAAACTTAATTGACGCGCTTTCAAAGCCTCTTTATCGTCCAGCAGAGTAATTTAGCAAATTACAAAAACATTCAAGATGCCTATCTTCCATCGAAAGCAAACAAGAGATGAAAGGCCGGCACGATGATAATTCCCACGACCGTCACAAACGGTACATCAAAAAATATTCTCTCGGCCATTGCCAGCGATATATGGGCGCGAGCTGGTGTGTGTGTTGTAATTGCTGAAATTTATATCTGCCAAGTTAATTTTCGCGTCTCTCCTCAGGTAATTACGAATCGGCCGTTGCAAGTTAACGAGGCCCGTTGTGCGATTGCCTCATACACGTCCCTTGGCAGAATCTTCATTCTCCGTACACACATATTCATTTTTCCTGACGAGTGCAATAATAACGGAGCACATCCGCGCCACCGCATTATAATACCATAACAACTAAACTAGCGGCTTAGACATAATTTGATATTTGCTTACAAGCGTGAAGGATTGTTTCATTTTTTCTCTCCGCGGCGAATCAACGCGCAAAAAATAGTTGCGCGGTAGCTGATGCATGGCTTTGCTTTACTGCACGTGAAAGTTGTGGCTTTTCCTTTAATTATAAATACCAAGCACAATATCCCATCTGATTCTTATTTGGAATGTTTAAGAGTTGGATTTTTTATATACCCGACGATCAAGAGTCCGGGTAATTACAAAGTTATTGAGGTACATTTTGATTCTTGCTTATATTTGAATTTTTACTTACTTTATTATTATTATTTTTTAATTTTTACTTCAAATTTTGGCTGTATGGATTAGCAATT